GAAGTCACTGGCCTTATGGATGTGGATGGCCAGACAGAACGATGTGTGTTGCCTCAGGATACTTCCTCACCTTTTCACTCCACAATTTTGCTAAATAAACTTGGATCAGAAGAAGGGGTGCTTCAGAAATCAGTGAAGTGTTTTCAACAAGTGCAAGAGTCGGTTTCTAGACTACACAGAAGGAACCTCTTTCCGTACAATCCAAGTGCACTCCTGAAGCTCTTGACTTCTGTTGACACTATTAGTAGCGAGCACAGATCTGCTTCAAAGAAGTCCAAAGTCTAAGGATCTGTAGTGCCCATCCCCCGCCTTCTCCCACTTAATAGTTTTCAAATGAGTTTTTCCAGAAGCTTAAAGTTTACCAGAACCTATGGTCAGAGGCACGTTCTTTGGGATTTGTCTATGGGTCATTAAAAGCTGGTCCAACTGGATGAGAAACACAGACTCTTTATAATGACTAATCCTTTGATGTGTTTAAGTGTGGAAGTGTTTGACTGGAGGATATGGTCTTGCCTGTGGGTATGTATAATTCAGACACTGGGGGTGAATTTTTAAAAAGAAAATAATAATAATAAAACCCTGAATTTTATTTTTGGTCTCCTTGATATTCCATCCCAATGGAAAGGCATAACATTTCTCAACAGGAATAGCTATCACTTTTAAGAGATAGTAGGGCAGCTGTGTGCTCCATCTCTGGACAGGCATGTACAGTGTCTAAAATAATTAAACAGAATCAAAGTTAATAGTTTTATCCAGTACTGCTGTTCTGCTTATGCAACAGACTTCCTCCTGCACATTGGAACTTCTCCTTCACCTCCCCCCTTGCTGCACCCTCAAAATCTGCTCCAAAAGGTTGAGGGACCAGCCTGAACAAATTTTGGAGGTGCACAGGGAATGCCTGTTGCTCAGTATTTGATGCAACTCAAGAGTTTCAGTCTTTTAAAAAGGTTGTGAAATGAAAGGCATGGGCAAAGGAGATAAAAGTACACTTACTTGTGGCTGCTGCAGAAAATCTGGATCCTGGGAGTATTCTGCCTCTAATAGTCTTTTATAACTTGTTACCCCACTTCAAACTGAACACAGTCCACTTACCATATATGATGGCTTAGCAGGGAATCAACGAGTCTTCTCTTTTTCACCATGCAGGCAGGAAAAACACTGAGTGTACCAAGCACCTGAAACATCACAGCACTTCTCTGGGGACTGTGCTCTGCTTGGTGGGTAACCACAGGTCTGCAGATGTTGTTCTTTGTTTACCTGCTGCATCTGATATATAAGAACAACTCACTAGACATGTATCAGGTCTGCAAAAATTGTGATTCTCGAAGTCAAATGTTGTCCATCCGTCATGATGTCGACATAAGTCCTCGTTCAAATGTTATAGGTAAAGGTAAAGGTACCCCTGCCCGTACGGGCCAGTCTTGACAGACTCTGGGGTTGTGCGCCCATCTCACTCAAGAGGCCGGGGGCCAGCGCTGTCCGCAGACACTTCCGGGTCACGTGGCCAGCGTGACAAGCTGCATCTGCCGAGCCAGCGCAGCACACGGAACGCCGTTTACCTTCCCGCTGGTAAGCGGTCCCTATTTATCTACTTGCACCCGGGGGTGCTTTCGAACTGCTAGGTTGGCAGGCGCTGGGACCGAGCAGCGGGAGCGCACCCCGCCGCGGGGATTCGAACCGCTGACCTTTCGCTCGGCAAGCCCTAGGCGCTGAGGCTTTTACCCACAGCGCCACCCAAATGTTATACATGCATGCAAAATGCCCAGAGTTGTGCAGTCCATAGGAACATGTCCATTACACACCAATTTCAGGGGGAAATGCCAAGAAAACACAGGCTTCAGTTGCAGGTTTGAAACTTACTGAGTTTCTTACAAAACATTGGGCAAGTTAGTATATACAGAGGTAAATCTCTGCAAAGATTTCACAGGAAAAGCCTGGACCAACAGGTTTACTTGGGGCAAGGAAGAGAGAGAAACAGGTAAGAGGCAAGGAGAATTACTGGGAGGGGAGCGGCACTAGGGGTGCAGTAGGCTGCATTGAAGCCCAAAATGCAATGGGATGGACTCTGAATGTAGTTGGGAAGCAGAACTCATTTTTTCAACTGTCACCTGGGAGCAGTGCTGTATTAGATTGTCCCAGTGGGAGATACAGGAAGCAGAACTTACTCCATCAGCTCTGCTGTAACAGACCAGGTCCCTTGAGCACCTCCTACCCCTGAACTGGGCCAGCTGGTCTTTGAGAACAACTGTTTAAGAACTGGCTTGAATTTGATTCTCTCTTCCCCACTTCTCCCCTCCCTGACCCTTTCCCCTTAGGTTGTAAGCCTGTAGGCAGGGATTGCCTTGTTCTAACTGACTGACGTAAGCCAGCCTGGGAGCATTTTTGTTGGAGGAGAAGGTACAGATTCTGCAAACAAATAATAGTAATAATAAATTATGCCAGTTGAGAAAAAAGAGAGAGAAATGGAAAGTTTGAAGTGACCTGCTTCAAAGAGAAAATTACACTTCTCAAACTGCAAAATATTGTGGTTTGGAAAGAATGTATTTCCCATACCAGAAATGTTTCTTCCTGGAAAGAAGATATAAGGAGGGCAAGGAGTTATCTACATAATAAATTGTGCCATTATTTCTCATTTGAAAGCATTTTGTCACTGCACAATGTATTTTTGTGATATGCCTAGTGGGAAAGTAGCAGGAGATAACATTTCTTAATCTTTGTGATTATCTTCAGCAACTTTGCATTGGCACATTGTGGAGACTTAAGCGCCATGCTTTGCTTTAGGTACAAATTGGGAAATCTTTTTGCATGTCAGTGATGTAAGCAGGGAGTGTATGGGAAGCTACCGCACATGAATATCTCGTTTTTCAGGTAAAATTGATACTGAATGCAATTTCCAGTTTTAAGCATGGCGATAGGATTTTTCCATTGTAATAGCTGAGAATTGCTGCTGTTTTAAGAAAGCCCTAGAGCTTGCTCTTAAGCGTATTACAAATAATTAGAACAATGAGATGCAGTAGAGGGAATATTAGATTTAAAGGTGGAATCCCAGCTGAACCTGTGGACTATGCTCTCTCAACATTTATCTCCCTTTTTGTGAAAAGGGAATCATCCATCTCCCGTCATGTTTATGAGGATGGTTGAGACCAGGATTGTGAAAAAAAAAACCAAATCTGGAAATGTAAATATAAAGTAGAACAGAACACTTAAAAAGAAAGCATTGTGAAATCCCTCTTAATTGTAATGTTAGCCCATATTACAAAGTTTTTGTAATTTTAAAGTTATTCGTTTTTAGCCCTGAAATCCAGTTTCGGATTGAGGATGGTTTATACATTTTTAAACTAAATGCAACACCAAAACCTCATTGCTGAAGGGCAGCAAAGGGACAGTAGAGTAGAAGACATTAGATAAGAGGATGAGAAGTCAGATCACCCATGAGAATGGAAGGGTTTGTGAAGAGAAAGCCCTCTTCTGCTTGTCTCTCTTCCACCGCAGCTGTCCAGCCCCTTTGCAAGCTGCCTTCAAGTACTTCTGCGAGCTTATTCAATCTGGTTAACTTCCCATGTTACTTACTGTTTCCAACCCTAACCCTGCGGAAAGCCATTTAATTTGATTTAATTTGATTTTGACCTGTATTTTAATTTATTGTTCAATTTTATACCAATGTTATATATCTGACGTTAGCCACCCTGAGCCCGACTTTGGCCAGGGGGGGCGGGGTATAAATAAATAAGCGTAGGGTTGAGCAAGGTAGGCTCACTTGGGCTGGGAGGAACTTTGATGGCCAACTCCCCGCTCCCCAGCAACCTAAGATGAGAACTGTAGTCCAGGGACACCTGAAGAACGCCACATAGGCTACCCCTGCAGTAGTTAATACACTTCTAGTAGAAGTCTAGTAGAAGCTGGTGGCTGTGCCGCAACTATGGACTGGAGTAGGCTTTTTCAAGAAGACCTGGGGTGTTGGTTGATTAAAAATGTTGGGCTTCCTGCCCAACACCCCAAACTAGCTGTGCAGGTGACCATACTCAAACAGTGTCAAGTGGCTCAGCTCTTGTGACAGCATTGAGATTAGACGGTATAATCCTTTCTGTACTTCTATCACTGATTTAGTGGCATTTTTTTGCACACCCCTCCATCATGGTCTGGGTAACCTTGCATTTTATATAGCGGGAGGCTAAGCTGCGTTGACCTCTTGAAAATGTCTGAGAACATTGTACCATCCCCCCAAGCCCAAGCATTGACAAGGAATCTCAGGATCAAACAGTGTGGGAGGCAGATTCATACAATGTTAGATATTTAATTTGATACCCATTACATTACCGAAGCAATTTGTTGTCTGTTTTTGCTGTGCTACTTCAGCAAACAGGATTGCCCTGGAGAATGTCGCTTGAGAAAAGCATAGCCTATATGTTCCTTCCTGGAAAGAATCTTACTTAATGCACTCTTTATGTAGACAGCCCTAGACTTGCAAAGTGCTGAGCCGGGATTGTCTGTTGCTTGGTTGAATCTAGTGACATCTAGCTCCAACAGTCATTGAGTTTCAGGGAGCTGGATCTAGGCAGCAAGGTGTGGCCCTCAGGACTCTTCCCAGGCTCCACCTTTTTTGACCCTGCTGCATGCCCTCCGGTAGTTCTTTCTGGCTGGAAGGTGGTCTTGAATATATCTATATGTCTTGTAGTAATATCTCTTGCTTGCCATTTTTCCTGAAGATGGCGACGGAGATAGCAGTATAGTCAGGTTCGCCTGCCTTCAATTAAGATTTTAAGTCGGTTTTTTAGCTTTCTTGGACTCTAATTTTATAGTTTTAATGATTTATTGGCTGCCTTAGCACCTCACCATTGCCCCTGTTTTTCCTAGTTAACGTTTTTATTGTTTTACTGGCTTGTTGCTGTGCTACTGACCAGGCTGGCCTCCCCCATCAACAAATGCCTAAAGGAGCGGCTCCTGTGATTGATTGCCTGCTTTGATTCCTGGCTAAAAACTTGGACTAAAATAGAACGAACTCGCGGTGGCGGCGGCGGAAATGTGTGCTTGAGCTGGTGACCTAGATCCTGGAGAAAAATCTTTAAGCTGCACGAAGAGAAACTCCCCTGTTCAAGGTGAGGCCTTTGGGAGTTTCCCTTTCATCTGAGACCGACCCACGGTGGGCCCTGCGATAAGCTTTGAAGGAGAATCTTATATTAGTTTTAGTCCGGTGGGAGCAGGACTTCAAAGGAATGGTCTGTGCTGCTTACCGGTAGTCTCCTTGTAGACCTAAATAGACCTAAATTGCCGGCCTGTGAGGGTGTAGGTGAAGACGCCGACGTTCATATGAACAGGTAGTGAAATATCCCCCCACTGCAAGTGCTGGTAGGCTAGAAGGAAATATTTATCACCTGGGTTGACGTTGAAATACTATCCCCCCCTCTTCTCGATATCTGAAATATGGGATTTGGGAAACGTCTTAGAGACTCCGAGGAGATAGTCCCCGTTCCCTTTCCGAGATCAAAGCAAACAAGGGTTGAACCATGTCACTTTAAAGAAGGGAGTAATCTACTGGATTGTTCCTACATGGTAGAAACGCAGAACCGTTTCAACCCACTGATTGATTGTGCGTCTGCACTTAAAGATGAAGAGCGAATAATTCCACAAACAACAAGCGATGTGGCCAACAGTAAGAGTGTAGTCTCTCCTCAGAAGGAGGAACTGGTCCTTGGCATGACCAATCATATGACATTTGAACAGTCCCATTTAATAATCAAAACCTTGCACTGTATATTCAAAAGACTAGATGATCTTTCGTCCCAGCTGCACAGCCTCCAACAAAAGCTAGTTACTACTTCCCCAGCGTCAGCCGGTGTTAAGTTCCTTGAAGAGAGGAAGGGGACGAGGAGTTTGTCCTTAAATAACAAACGTACCGACAAATTTAAATACAGCCTTAACCTTCAATTAGGTCATCAATCCTTGATCTTAACACCAAGGAAAGTGAGCCTAACTATACAAAATGGGGACCCAAGATGGAGAACTCTGTGTGGTGCCAAGGATCTCCTAAAGGTGCTTTTAAATATGGAGGCAACACAAATTGACCTCTGTGCAGTCCTCCCCCTTGTCCATCATCATAAATCCCAGAGAGTCCTGCTTGCGTTCCAATCCACAAAAATTCCCACTATCATACTACGAAAGAAAGCATTTTTGTTTCGCTGTGGGATAGTACCAACAAGAGCCTTTATAGACCCTAAGCCTAAACCCCTACTGTTGGAGGCAACAACCAAAGAGGGCTCAAAATCTGCTAAACCCGATCCACCAGTGGACACCGGAGTGGGTGGTCTACCCCAGGAGAAGAGCTATGTGGTCTCCACTCCCCTAGCAAAGAACAATGACCATCCGGAAAGTGGCCTGACACCACCAGAAGAGATCGAACTCATTGCCTCCTTCGCAGATTTACCAGTGGTGGAACAAAAAGAAATTATTAAAAGACTGGAATCGCTTAAAACCCAACTTATTAGGAAGCTCAGCACCAGAATACTCACGTACAGCGAATATGTCTCTCTAGAAGAACCAGATCATATGGATCTCTCAATATCTAATGCTAAATGCATGTTGGCAATGGAGGATAAGATACAACCCCTCTGTGCTCTTAATAGATTTGCATGACCGTCCATCGAAAAACATACCTGAAGAAAGCAGCACACAACAGGAAAAATCCCCTTCTACACATTCATCGATGCCAGACCTGGAACCTTCTTATAGCACTGACCAATCAAGAGAAGAGGTGCCTTTGCCAACCTCCCCAAATAGTCCTCCCGCCCAGCCTCATCCCTCCTTGCGGAGTATTATGGATTCAACAGCAAGATCAGTGACGGAACTGATTGAAGACCCAACAGGCCACATAAATCATGTAGCTCAAAAGACCAGTAGCAGGCTACAGAGAGACCAAACTTCTGACGAGATAGCTGGTCCACCCCGGGTGGCCCACCAAACTCTTTTGGAAAAGGGGTCCGCCCCTGTTCAAGGTCCTACTCCTAGTAGATCGAGTGGCCAAGCTCAACAGTCAGATGACCTTGTAAATCCCACTCAGCCTTTACGAGAGGTTTTTCATCAGAGGAAGATAACTGATTTCTTTATTGGCTCCCCTCTTCCCATATTAAAGTTGAGCCAATTTTCCGAATGACAGTCAATTGGAGGTACGGGGAAACCCCAGCCTTCAATATTAAGTTGGAACATTGCTGGATGGAAAAGTAAAAAATTAGATCCAGAATTCCAAAAATATATTAATTCCTTTCTTATTATACTATTACAAGAAACTTGGGTGGAGGAGGAAATTGAGTTAAATGGCTTTGAGTTTATATGTCTGCCTGCTAGCCCGTCAACGAATGGTGGCCGCCCTAAAGGTGGCCTTACAATTGGTATCTCCCTTAAACTTCGGGCTAAACTTTCACTAGTGCATGCATTTCCGCCTTATGCTATTACCGGACTGATGTCTGGTGGAAACTTCTCTTTATTGGTTACAAATGTCTATTTCCCTCCGGGAGGGTTAGCAGCGGATCTTACTTCTAGATGGGAATCCCTAGAGGATTTTTTACTTTCTTGCTATCTTAAATATCCCAATGTCCCCTCCATTACTGGAGGCGATTTTAACGCTTGGATAGCCTCAAATTGGGAGGCTCTTAAAAAGTCTAAGTGGTGGATTGACCCTGGCGCTCAAACTTACGATCTAGCATACACCCGCACTAGAATATCAAAGGATGTAAAAGTCAACAAGGCGGGAGTGATGCTTTATCAGATGACTCTACGCCTTAATTTAATAATATTAAACGGCAGGTGTCCTCCAGACATACCAGGAGAGTTCACCCACCTGGGGTTAAAATCCAACAGTGTTCTCGACTATGTTTTGGTTTCCCGGGATCTATTTTTGAATGTCACCTCCTTTAAAATTGATAATGCCCAATTTAGTGACCATCTTCCCCTGACAACCAAGTTATGTGTTGACTGGCAGTTGCTCGACCGCTTCCACCCAATCCCGGTGACTGGAGTCGTCCACTAAAGTAAAGGGGACTAGATGGTCCCCTGCCCTCGCTCATAGATATATGGATTTTATCAGAGAAAAGTTTTCTGGTGATCAGCCGGACATAGGAATAGTCCCACGTGATCCTATTACCTGTTTGAACTTTTTTTCTTGCCTGATAGAAGTTTTAACTCGCTTTTTTACTTCTCCTACCTATGGAGTTAAAAAAGACTATTTTAAATTTGGCGCCCCTTGGTTCAACTCTGCTTGCAAACTAGCCAGACTCCATCTTCATACAATATACAATGATTATAAACTTTCCGGCGCTCCGGCTTTACCTCCATCTTATTCCCTGGCTAAAAAAGCATACAAACAGGCCCAGAAATCGGCCAAACGGGAATGGCATTCAAATCGTTGGCAGACTATAATTTCTGCCTCAAAATCTCATAACTCCCGGAAATTTTGGTCCTTAATAAAGGGAAGAAACACGAAATATCCCTTAACGGTGATCCCGGCCCCTACAAGGGAGCAGTTCCTGAGAAAATATTTCTCAGTGGCAGAAGCTCCGGCCACTCATTGGAGACCTTCTAATCCCCTTCCCGTCTGGCCCAATACCGACCCTGCTGAAATCCTAGAATTGATAGCTGAGCTGAAAACTGGTAAGGCCCCTGGGCCAGATTTGGTCCCAGTTGAGGCCATAAAGCTTCATTCTGCATGGTGGGCAGGGATATTAGCTAAAACGTTCGACGCAATAAATGCCACGGGCTTAATACCAGGAACGTGGAAGGAGGCCATTATAATTCCTATCTACAAAAAAGGCCCTCCCGGTGACCCAGGGAATTATCGGAATATCAGTCTGCTATCGTCCATTGGGAAAATATATGCCCGTTTTTTGCTGACAAGGTTGATGAAGTGGTCAGTTGAGGCTGACCTGATTGGACATGAGCAAGCTGGATTTAGATCAAACCGATCCACAACAGACCAGGCAATTATTCTTTATCACTTAGCCCGGAAATACTCAACACCTCGTCGGGGCCAACTTTGCGCAGCTTTCATAGATTTGAAAGCTGCGTTTGATAGTATTCCTTTTTTTTTTAATAATATTTTTTATTGCTTCTTTCCAAGGTCAGATGCATCGTCCATAATTCAACAAAAGCGACTTTACAAAAAAGAAAAAAAAATCATAAAGAAGAAAAAATTCACATTTTGCAGACAATTTTTCATAATCCACTGGACTTCCTCACATCCTCCACCCCCTGCATTCTTTACCATAAATAAAGAAAAAATAACAGCAAATTAATACCTTGTTTCATGCGTTTTTGTACTTTCATCTATTTGTATTTTAAATTTAGGGTACTTGTTGTGTATTCACTTTTCCATCAATCCTGAAAATATAAACATTACTCTAAAATTTAGTCCTTTCACCCTCGTAACTTAATTTCCACCATAATCAAACTTAATTGCCGAAGTTTGTTTTCACCAAGCTTAGCAAATTCTCAACATTCATATAACTTATGATATTTTTGCAAATAGTCCTTAAATTTTTTCCAATCCTCTTCCACTGCCTCTTCTCCCAGGTCCCGGATTCTGCCGGTCATTTCGGCCAGTTCCATATAGTCCATCAGTTGCGTATACCACTCTTCCAGCGTGGGTAACTCCTGTGCCTTCCAATATTTTGCTATAAGGATTCTTGCTGCTGTAGTTGCATATAGAAAGAAGGTTCTGTCCTTCTTTAACACTCTCTGGCCCACAATGCCCAGGAGAAAGGCCTCTGGTTTCTTGTGAAAGGTATACTTAAATACCTTTTTCAACTCGTTATAAATCATTTCCCAAAAAGCCTTCACCCTCGGGCATGTCCACCAGAGGTGAAAGAATGTTCCTTCAGCCTCCTTACATTTCCAACATTTATTGTCAGACAGATGATATATCTTTGCAAGTTTGACTGGGGTCATGTACCACCTGTATATCATTTTCATAATGTTTTCTTTCAGGGCAGTACATGCCGTGAATTTCATACCGGTGGTCCATAACCTTTCCCAGTCCTCAAACATAATGTTGTACCCAATGTCTTGTGCCCATTTTATCATGGCTGATTTAACCGTCTCATCCTGTGTGTTCCATTTAAGCAACAAATTATACATTCTTGAAAGCACTTTTGTCTTAGGTTCAAGTAATTCTGTCTCTAATTTCGATTTCTCCACCTGGAATCCAATTTTTTTGTCCTTTTTAAAAGTTTCTTGTATTTGGGCATAGTGTAGCCAGTCTCGCACCTTGTCTTTTAATTTTTCTAGACTCTTCAACTTCCAATTGTCTCCGACTCTTTCTATTATCTCACAATATTTTGCCCAGCCACCCTCCATGTTAAGCCTTTTTGGGGCCTTAGCCTCCATTGGTGATAGCCACCTCGGAGTCTTATTTTCAAGTAAGTCTTTATATTTAATCCAGACATTAAACAAAGCTTTCCTGACAATATGGTTTTTAAACAATTTATGAGCCTTTGCCTTGTCATACCACAAATATGCATGCCACCCAAATGCATTGTTAAACCCTTCCAGATCTAGGACATCAGTGTTTTCCAATAAAAACCAATCCCTCATCCAGCAGAAGGACGCAGCTTCATAGTATAACCTTAAGTCCGGCAGGGCAAATGGCAATACATTCATTTTCACAGCTGCAATTCTTCCCAACAAGGAAAGTTTCAATCTTGACCAAATTTCTAGATCCTTTTAATTTCTGACCAACATTTTTCATAATTGTCTTTAAACAAATTTCAAATTTTTCCCAGTCATTGTTAACCCCCAGGTACTTCACCTTTTTAACCACCTTTAGTTCCATTTCCTTTTGAAAACCCATCTATTTCTGAAGATGTCAAGTTTTTGCTAAAACCTTAGTCTTTGTTTGTTCAGCTTGAATCCCGCCAACCCGACCAAACTCATAAATTAATTCTAAAGCTCTTTTTGTACTGGGTTCTGGCTCCTGTAATGTTAAAACCAGATCATCTGCAAAAGCTTTCAGCTTATATTGTTTTCCTCCGACCTGTATTCCTTCCACCAGTTGATCCTTCCTAATCAAATTCAGCAACACCTCCAGGACAGAGATAAATAACAAGGGTGATAAGGGGCACCCCTGTCGTGTCCCTTTTTCAATTTTGAACTCCTCTGTCACCACATTGTTCACTATCAATTTAGCCTTTTGTTCTGAATAGATTGCTTCAATACCATTTTGGAATGCCCTTCCCACTCCCATCCCTTCCAGATTTTCCTTCATAAATTTCCAAGATATATTGTCAAAGGCCTTCTCAGCGTCTATAAAAATCAAAACTGCTTTCGTGTTCAAATTTGTCTGCAGTAACTCCAAAACATCAATAATGTTCCTGATGTTGTCAGACAAATGCCTACCAGGTAGAAAGCCCGCTTGGTCCTTATGAATTACTTCATTCAAAACCTTTTTAAATCTACTTGCCAAAATATCAGCAAAAATTTTGTAATCCACGTTTAAGAGTGAGATGGGACGGTAGTTCTTAAGTTGAGTCTTTTCAGATTCCAGTTTTGGTATCAAAGTGATGAAGGCTTCTTTCCACGATTCTGGTGCTCCCTTCCCTTCCATAATTTGATTGCATACCTCCATTAGTGGCTGAGTCAAATGCTCCTTCAATATCTTATAATATTTGGAGGTAAGTCCATCTGGGCCCGGGGATTTGCCTAATTGCATATTCTGAATGGCACTTTCAATTTCCTGTTGTGTTATTTTGTAATTCAGGGTTGTTTGTTTGTCTTGCGATAGTTTTTGCAAACCGTGACTCTTTATAAATTGGTTTAACTCAGTCTCTGCTTGAGGCCCTTGAGTAAACAGTTTTTTGAAATATCTCTGGAAACACTTTCTGATTTCTTCTGGTTTCTGAATACATTTTCCTTCAACCTCCAGATTGGTGACGAAGTTCAATTTTTGTCTCTTTTTCAGCTGCCATGCCAGCAGCTTCCCACATTTATTTGCCGATTCGAATGATCTTTGTTTCATCTGTTTAATTTTCCATTCCACTTCTTGATTTATCAATTTCGCATATTGTGCTTGATGGAATTTTATTTCTCTTAAAACTTCTTTTGATTTTGGATTAAGTCTCAACTTTTTCTCTCCATCTCTTATCTTCTCCAAAATCTTGTCCTTTTTACCATTCCAGAGTTTTTTTCTTAATAGAATTCTGTTGTATCAGAAACCCTCTCATAACAGCTTTGCTTGCGTCCCAGATTATTATTTTTTTCCACCGAAGTGTTCAAATTTATTTCAAAATAGTCCTTCAACGTTTTTTGGGCCTTCTTCACTATCTCCTGATCTCTAAACAGGGTGTCATTCATTCTCCATCTGAAGGATCCAGCTGGCGTCAGTCTCAAGTCCATTTTCAAGGCGTTATGGTCGGAGCAAGTTTTAGGGCAGATCTCTACTTTTTTAATCTTGGGTGCCAGTCCTCTAGTTATCCAGATTTGGTCGATTCTTGTCCATGATAGGTGGGCCTCAGAAAAGAATGTCCCTTCTTTACCTAGTGGGTTTTTTGTCCTCCAAATGTCAGTCAAGTCCATGTTGTCTGTTAGTTCAAAAAAAGTTTTAGGTAGTCTGCCATCTTTAGTCAAATTTTGGCTTTGTGACTTATCCATATAGGTGGAGACCACCCCATTCATATCTCCCATCAAAATGATGTTAGTATAGTCAATATGATCCAACATTATCTCATGCAGCTTTTTGTAAAATTCCGATTTCCCCTCATTTGGTGCATATATTCCTACTATCAAAAATTTTTCTCCTTGTATTTGTATTTCAATCGCCAGGATTCTTCCTTGTTCATCTTTGAACAAAAACTTTGGTGCTAGGTTCTCCTTTGCATAGATCACTACTCCTCTTTTCTTAACTTTGTCTGAAGAAATAAATTCTTGGCCTAATCTTTTATTAATCAAAACTCTCCTATGGAGCCTAGTCACATGTGTCTCTTGCAAACAGATAATGTCCAATTGTTCCTTCCTCAATATATGAAAGATCCTTTTTCGTTTCTCAGGGGAATTTGCACCGTGAATGTTCCAACTAAGCAGCTGCAGAGACATCTTGAATCAATTTGTCAGCCAATAGGGGTGTCTCCCTTGTCGTCAATGTCTGGAGGTGGGATTGGTGTTGAGCCAGGCGGAGGTAGTGACCAGGCTCCTGCTACTCCTTTCCGAAGATCCTCCCCGTAGTCGTTCAGGAACTTTTCTTGGTCCTCTGCTGATCTAATTCTCACTTTTTTCCCTTTAATGCTGAAAGATAGTCCTTGAGGGAATTCCCACCTATAGGGAATTGCGTTGTTTCTCAATAAACTTGCAAGGTCTTTATATGTGGTTCTTAGGTCCAACAATTGTTTCGGTATATCTCTGAAGATTTCTGCTGTCTTTCCCTGAATCACCAATGAGTTTTTGAAATGTAGGCCTAATATTTTGTCTTTTTCTTGCTTAGATCCCAAAATGATCAAGCAATCTCTTGGTTTGTCCTTCTTGGCCACTCTTCCCAATCTAAAAGCGGTGACAATTTTAAAGTCCTTCTCCTCTGCCAAACCCCAGAACTTAGATAATTCTGCTGTCAAAAAACCAATCAAATCTTCTTTCTCAAGTTCTGGGATATTTCTAAGCCTGAGATTGCTTTCCCTGTTTTTCAATTCTGCCATGGACAGGTACGCCTGCTGTTCATTGACCTGTCTGCTCAGTGGCCTTACTTCCCCTCTTAGTTCCTCTATATTCTTTTTATTTTGGTCTGCTTTTAAATTTGCTTGTTCAGCTAGTTTCTGATTTTCTGTTATAGCTGTTTGAATATTTCCTATTGCCTGTGTGTTTTGAGCGACTTGATCTGTCAGTTTATTAATTGTAGCTGTCACTTGATCAAATTTTGTCGCTTGTTCATCAGCCTTCCTGTTTAGTGCTGCCAGCTGGTCCAATATTTCTTTAGAAACTGGGTCTAGCCCCCCTGCAGCCATATCCCCAAAAGCTGGCTGTTTAGGTTGTTCTTCTTGCAGACCTGTCACAATTGGAACAGATGATCTACGTGTCTGCACAGGCAAAGTTAATTGCAGCAGTTCAGTTTGTTTTGCTTTCTTGGCAGCTCTTGTTTTTGGTACACCACTCATTCCACAGCTGTCCAAGTGTCAAGGTCAAATTGTAAATCCCATGGGAAAG